AGCCAGTAAGGATGAATATTGTTTCACACACCATATGAGGTAATATCCAAAGTTGAAAATACAACAGAACCCCACTTGTCATTTAGAATAATGAGCACGTAATTTTCCTCTTAAACTGTTGCCATAGGAAAAGTACTGGCTCATCGTTGTCACTCATCATCAGTACGGTGTGAACATTATTTACGTGAATTTGTGCGCAGCAGCCATTATATTTAAAACACGCCATCTGCATTTTTCTGGAGAACAAAACAATGACAGACCACGTCGTAGTTATGTGATAATAGCATGTGAACAGCTACGTCATGTTACAGATGTTGAACTTCACTTGTTTAATAAATTCACACGAATCATTTTCTTTGTCCTTGAATTTTGCTCGTCATTGAAAATGCGTAGATTAATTGTCATTAATTTTCCTAACATGCGTCTGTTTTAGGCTGTCCATTCCTGTCATTCGTATAGTCTGATTAGTAAGGATGATTAAATATTAGGAATAATTGCGTTAACAAAGTCTGCGGTCACGGTTTCTGTCGTGGCAACGAATTTCTGTATGCGTCATATATAGTATATCAGATCACACAATGACCTGTCATTTTATTCTTAACAACTGATTATAAAGTTCGAATCCTAAATAGATGTATAAACAGCTCTGATACGAACTTCAAAGACGACTCTGGTGGTGAGATTCAGTTTCTCATGACAACAAGTATGAAGGTGTTTGGTACAAGTATAATGTTTCAGAGTTTCTACCTGTCCTGATAATGGGGGCAGCAGATACCTATGAAACGTCCGTAGACTTCTACCAGACTACACGACTCAACATTCCAGAAAAGAGTCGTCTTCAAGACTTTATTGTTTATTTATGTTTTATAGCCTCGATGATTCTGGGGTTATTTAACGCAGAGTTCGTAGTTCGCACTGTCGAATGAGATGGGAAGATGGTAATGAATGGTATATAGGGTATGATTTCGAAGAAATTCGTCTGGAGACAAAAATTGTTGCCTTTCGGTTTCTTAGTATAAGTGTGTGTTACATGAGGAATATTTACACGAAATAGAGTAACCACCGAGGCCGACAGATTCTTCTACAGTTTTGATTGTTTTTTCCAAACTAACTGGTTTCGAGTACAGAGCAGATTATTTTTATATTTGAAAACTTTGGAATCTTCAGCACACATTTTCAGTGTTTACAGTTGGAACCTCAATAAGGCCGCTGAAATTTAACGCACATGCGGACAGAATAAACTGCATTTTTACTGCTTATTTATATCTTACAATCTTTCTCCGAAAGCTTTGGAAATCATTTTAAAATATCCCCTCTCATGAACAGTTGAAAATTAACGTTACATCCTACGAGTCTGGATGAGTAATTTACGAAATATCGGGGCATCATCCATGTACCACAGCACACGTTTACCTCACGTCATTGCATCCTGTTCACAAGACAGACACGGCTGGACGTAGAAACACGTGTTGGTCTACTGGCCGCACGTGAACTACAATCTGGGTTAAACTTATGAATTATACAAACTCTCGTCGTATGTTTAAACTCAGGATTAACGTAAACGACTGTGGTACCTTACAGATTTTTTCAAAGCCCTTCTGTATGGGATAGGAGTTACGCCAGTGTTCTTTTAACGGAACAGTGATGTGTTGGCGTATAAAATCATTCAGACTCCTGGAAATAAAATTAGGAACAAAGAGGGCGTATTTTTTATCTCGGTACTGGTAGAGAAGACAAAATCTGATGCTTATTTGAGCACGACGCCATGAAGATGTGTGTGGAGAAGTGAAGGTAAAGCTCCATGTATTTTCAATGTTGACACTAGATGATGAGTGGTCACCTCCTTTCGGCCCTCTTAACCCTCTGTCCTTGTTCGATAGGACGCTGTATGAGCCTCATACCCTGTCCGGACGCGGTGGCCTTGTCGGGAATCGAAATTCTGCCGTCCGGTTCATAGATTAAGTCACTTGTGACTGAGCTACATTGTTTCCCACAGTGGATGCAGAGTGGAACAAATAAATTTAAAAATATGTATATACACATTCATGATATAACTGAGAGACGAAAACACAGGTACAGCTAGTTACTATTGTATTATCATATTGAACATTTCGTTTGTGATCTCTATATACATGGGATTAATGAAACTATTCTTACTGAAACAGACACTACTCTCACCTAATCACTTGAATTTGGTTTTTACGAATTACCGTTGAAAAGTTGAAAATATATTATTTTGTAGAAATATATTTAATTCCTGTTCAATTGTTTCTAGCAGAATTTATAATATTGCATTCTGATATTCACAAACTCTTTCTTTATATTTAACACAGACGAAGTTATTCCGGCATTGAAAGAGAGTCTATAAATAAAAACTGCGGATGGTTCATCAGTTTTCAAGAAATCAGTGCTTCATTAGGTTTAGTAAATTTACCCAGTCTTCAGTCTGTATGTGGTAAATTTAAAGCAAGATCCAAATCGGCTGTTGGCCTAGCCAGCCTCCTATAAAATAGGTATCGGGTGTTTTACCCCGGGGGTAATTCAACAGAGGCGTCCATCTCTGTCTAATGCTGAGGTTAATAATGCGTTCTGCATTTCAACGCCCCCATACATATTCGTGGTATTTAATTAAGCACCAGGAACAACTCCACCTCTTTTTTGTACAAAGGATTGAAATGTATCCAGAATCTTTAGGGGCTTAAAACAGAAACATTTCGAGAATTAAGCTTCACGGAAATTATATTTTAACATTTAGTTACTGTATCGTGTTCTATTTATAGTTCCTTGCGCAGGGTGTGGGCAGCTGTCAGTAGGTGATATGACGAATCCCCAAAACCGTCCATGTTTTATAGGGATGTACATAATTATATCCACAAAACGAGGAAACTCAGAAAATTATCCAGATTACGGTAGGCTGCCACTGTACTTCAACACCTCTTGCGCTGGAAATGTGAACATGATAGTAGTAACTGGAATATTAGTTTAAAAGGTTCGTTTTATTTTCATATACACTTTTCTTTTCCCTAATATACTTCTCGACACCACATAATACTCTCGTAATTTTTGGGTTCCGGGGATAGCCGGTTGAAATATACGGTTCTGTGCAGTGAATAGATTTTATGCCAGTTTGTTCCTTTCTTAAATGATAACGCGAATTATTCAAATTACATGTTATTTTGGCTTTCATCTTGAAGGTCATACTCGATTTGTTTTGGAACATTACGCCGATATCTCTGGTATTTTGCATTGACAGACATGCGTTTTGACAAGTCACGTGAAGCATGGCAAATTTTACATTGAACATGGCGTTTGTATGTACTTACATTAGTCTTTCCGTATCACTGTACTAATAACCGATTTATGTATCTTAATTTGGGACTGTCTATTCCAAACGACTAGGTTGGTACAGTGTAACATTTTCTATTTCTTTCGTTGCTGTAATCTCGTACGAAATGCTACCGATCATTGTACTGTTTCGGTAACGTAATTTATCAACACGTCGACGGACGAACTGCATGGTGTAGTCTTCCTGGAACAGCTGGCAGTTGTTCAACTGTTCAAGAATGATCCATTTAAAATATAAATAAATATAAAATTACTTATAAGCTGTAGAACGCGGGATAATAAGAAAGAAGCAATTCCATTTCTTGGGCACAGTTTATTTTTAAGGAAATCCGGTCGAAGAATGTATATTTTAGTTGCTGATGTGGGCTATCTACATGCCATTTATTTAGCAGTTTTGTACGATGAGATATTTTTCTGAGTGTTGACAAAGTTCGGCTTCAGACTCATATAAAGTTGTTCTACTGGACCGATATAAACTAAAATTAAATTTGCCTCGCAGCGTTTAGTGCTGTTATACTAATAATGAAACATCAAATACATTACGTATTTTTGCAGCTGAAATATACGGTTGCATAGACAACTTTATATTGCGCGTTCATTTTCTTTACATTGTGCGAATAGTACATGAAAGAGTACATTTAATTTTACTGGTCTTTAGACATGGTCCATGGCCTTCTGGAAGCAATCAGGAGCCTTCCTTATTGAAATGTCACGCTTGGAAGAAGGAAGTGTACTGGTGTGCTGATGGAGCTACATTTTCTAACCAGTAGTTAATTGTTTAACTTAACATGGCGTAGAAAACCTTGCGGGATGGTCATGTGTGTGTTACTCTCAGCGGCGAAGTATATTGATAACATTTTATATTGGAAACTTAAATATTATTTAAAGGACGATCTGTAGTTGACAATATGGGCTAGAATATGGTTACAGATGTAGTTGTCCCGGTGACTAAGTGCCAAGCCACGAGGTAGAATGGAAGTGAAGTTCCTCTCATTCTTAACCTTAGCTTTATACTAATATAAATGCTTAGATTCAGATCCCCTGGGAAAGAGACACTTTGTCCATCGGTTAGAAGGCTGTGTGTTACCCCGTTTGTCTGATCCATAGCTGGTCACTTTACTACCTGAGGTATCTCGGTTCGACTCAGAACACAGCAGACTCGTTAAAATAAACAGTCTCTACCTGCCAGCATGCTTAGTGGAGTTCCATCACTAACAGAAGAAAATTTGTTAACACGTAGGCTATGAGGAAATTCGGCCTAATACACTGCTTTGGCCAAGAGCAGATATTCAAATACGATGATGCAATGTACGTTGTAGCTCACCTTCCTTATGAGCAAAGCAAATACAAGACGTAACGGCACATTCTTGTCTGTTCCCTTGCATTTTGGCTATTACACTCCACCCATTCCCGTCCTGATTTCACGCCTGTCATTTTTATTTAGCTTAACAGAGCGTTTTAGAAAATTATCATTGTCCATTCTGTTAATATGTCTCTGTAGTCGTCAGTTCTTGTATTTTCCGAATATAAAGCTGAATCCTGAAATTGATGACAAAACGATTCTACGGGACGTCGCCTTTGAATATGCATACGTTATTTATGTTAGAGTTTTCACTTTTTTAATAGTCTACATAATCGTCTTTCATTCTTTTCAGATTTCGTTTACATTGGATTCTACAAACTTAGGTAAGGTAAGACTAAGCCACTTGATTTGTACTTTTTCCTTCATTATTTGTGTATTTTCATTCAAGTTGTTAATATGCTATGTAGGCTTATGTGCATATCTGTTTTGTTACGACTGTACCTAATAATTGCTTTTGTTGACGTATGAGAAATGTATGACTTGGATGATCGCTGAAGGACAGGAGGTAGGATATATGATTAAATACATAATTTAATTAGAAGAACTGATATAAATTTGAGCTGTAAAGTCGTATATGAATGTGTAGATTCTGAATTGCAGAAATTTTTGTTATAGCAATATAATTTTATTTAAAATATTAAATTCTGTTAGGAAATATTTTGCTTATTGTGGGAGTAGAAAAAGAGATAAAAGTAAGGTTATTTTTAAGAGAATCTTTGTGTATTTGTCAAATTGACCTGCATATTTAAATTTTAACTAAATGAGCAGAGTCTTTGAGGAGTTCATAACATCTCGTTTGTTGTTTTCCTATATTTGAAAGAGAAGCGGATTCTCCGCAGGTGTAAAGGGTTTTCGTTCTAACGTATGCGTCTAGACCAGCGTTTCTCAACCGGGGTTCCCCAGAACCTTAGGGTTTCGCGAGCAATCGCCGGGGGTTCCGCGAGAAATAGTGATGAATAGGCTAATCATATGTAAATGTATTTTTAAGCCATTTTTATGTTTAATTTCATATTCGTAATTTTACTATACACGTACGACATATTCTCGGAAAATTCTTGGGTATTATAATAAAGTCTTCAACCTGTTATGTCATTTAGAAATATAATAATCATTAGAAATATATTTAGCGACGTCTATACGGCGCTAGCGTGAAACCGCCTTTAGTGGTCAGTGTACAGGAGCT